AACAACAACAACAACAACAACAACGAAAAATGGCTACAAGTGACCCAGTAATAGTTTGGTCTATGTGGCCCAAATCTGTCAATGCCACAACTGGCCCAGTTGTAGTGTGGTTTATGTGGTGCTAGGCAAGCAAGGACCACCTCTGGCAAACCATATGTGGGCCACCCAAGGCTCATCAGTCTTTGCAGTATCTGGACTGAGTGTTGAGTGTTAATGCACTGTGTGGGCCAGAACTGGGCCAGACCAACGATGTGTGTTGTTTTGTAGTGATTTCTTTTTCAATAACGTTCAGTTTGTACATACAGCGGGATTATTAGTGTTTTTTACCTAATAAATATAGAAATATGAAATTTAAAAGAAAAAGGGTTACACTTACTCATCCTTCTGCAATAAAAGGATAAGATTAGAACTAACCTTCAGATCTCAGAACCACWTTCACTTTTCGACCAACCAAGAATATTTAAAATGTGAACCCACCTTTTTATTCTAACCTAAGTGTGCCAGAGCTTCCTGTAGTTCTCATTTTTTASACCCGTGCCCGAGCTGACTATGTGCTGATTTCTTGGGCAGATCCCCAACCAGGGCAGCAGTGTGTTCCAACAGCAGGCGCTGGACCCTGGGCCGGAGAGAGCGGCGCCGCACCTGTGCTCCGGAGGCTGAAGCAGAACAGGGAGCAGAGGGATTCCCGCATCCGAGCATCAGCYCTGTTCATCAGCCACAAAGCCTGACCATTAGCAAACACCTAATATACTTACCTAATACCTTTGTGTCTTTTAATACAGCATTTGYGGAAAATTTACCTGATGAAAAGTTTAAATAATAAAAAAACAGCTCTTTTTTTGTGCTTTCTTTACTTCGAAGTACCAGACAAAAGGAGGTATGGCAGAAAACCATTAAATTTCAATTTTTGAGGCATTTTCAAGTGCCATTTAACCCAGTTGTTTATGCATGACATATAGGAAGCTGAGCTTTCCCAGCCGTGTTTAATGTCCTGTAGCATTTTTTTGTCATCTTGTTTTTTCCCCCCTTTCTTTCCAGCCGATCTAAGTGCAAGAAAACAGTGTAGAAAATAGAGCCATTAAAAAAACACCTCTATGAATACCCTCGGCCACTTCTCTCACTAGGTGTCTTTTCTCCTGAAGCGCGATCCGGCAGCAGAATGCCAGCTGCCTTTTTTATTTTGGCACATTAAAGCCGTCACACCCAGAGCCCAGAGGCGTCGCCGAGATAAGAGCCTCAGGTGATCTGCAGCTTCCATCCTGGAAGTCTGTTTTTTTTTAATGCAGCAGGCCCCTTTTTTGTTTTCTCACCTCTGCCACAGATGCTGCATAGATCAGTGTGTATGTGTGTGTGTGGGGGGTGTGTGTGTGCGTGCACCACACCTTCACCCCTCCCGACTCACACACCACCCATCTATCTGCCTCCCTATCTTTGTTGAAAGCATTTGAAGAGAGGATGAAATTACTCTCACCTTTCACTCTGACACCATTTTAGTGTCTTCGCACTGTTTCACATTATCTATTTACTTTATTTAACACTTTAGCCGAAAGGTCCGCCTTTTCACTCCCAGACATACATTTTTCATTGTTGTCCTCCTAAAGCTCATAGGTGTTAGCTTTCTGAGATATAAAAACGCACGCTAGCCCACTCTTTGTCATTATATCTATGCATGTGTGAATGTGTGTGTGTGTGTGTGTGTGTGTGTACTTGTATTTGTTACCTTTTTAGGACTGATTCTGTTATACACACTTGCCTTGTCAAGACAGGGTTGATTTTAAAATGTATTCAGTTGTAAATATGATCTATCAATCAACCCAATGATTKTTTTCAAGCTTGGAAAAAATGTGTCCACTGCTCCATGAAACACACACACACACACACAATCACACAGGCACACGTAAACACAGATGTCTGCCTTCGTATTTTGGTGGCGAGTGATAATAATTCTGTATTCCTGCTGTAAAAGATTGCAGCACCATTGACTGGACCAGGTCGATGCTGTTTTACGGTGACTTGTTCCCTCTGGTTGAGTCACAGCAAAGTTTTGCAGTGACTTTATGACCCGCTGTCTTAGACGGGTTCCTTCATGGAGGCACGCAAAGAAAAGCAATCGCACAAMAACCTGTGTGAACTGCTGGACTGTGCATGACCTTTCTTTTATTTCTTTCTCTTTTTTTATTAGAAGTTGTTTTTTTCAGACCTACTAAGAACAAAACTGTGACCTGCGAAGAATTCAAAGACTCCAGTTCATTATGTGAGCAAAACTAATCCTGAATATCCTATTTTGGATAAAATGGTAAATGTTTTTTTTAATGCTTGACTGAGTGCAGATTGCAAAGTTAARCACATAATCATTTCATCTTTCACTAAGATTGACTTCTTTCAGCAAACATACCTGAATAAAATATTGTACCCTAAAAATTCACATCAACACTTATGTGTATTTACTGTATATTTGACACAAAACACTTTAGGTGACGCTGCAATTTCTCTTCCCAACACAGGCGGCGCTACAATAAAACAGCTCCGTGATTTTCAGCAGGAGAATCTTCTTTACGGCTCTCCTCAGCTCGTCGTACGGCAACACAGCGGAAGTAGCGTTAGCYGTTAGCAGSCGGCTAGCTGATTCCTGTGTCGCTTTCTCTTTATTTTGTATGTTGTAGCGCGTGCAAAAAGAGATGTGGTTTATTTATTTACTGAGCTGGCTGTCGCTGGTCATCCAGATATCCTTCATAACACTAGCAATAGGTAAGTACAAGCTACAAYTCTGGACAGGTGATAACGTACAGGCTTATTTATCTCTGCTTGTTGCTCACGCAGCCAGCAGGTAATAAATCAGGTCTGTTACACAAACCGTACATTTTTGTTGTTTTTGCGATGACGTATATATTCGATTTGGGCTGTTAAGGTTTTCCAGATGAGCGTGGAGCCACATTTTTTCAGTCAGGATTTCTGACGAGGCATCATCTTTAATTAGCAATAAATATTAATCATTAACTCAGGTTAACAGTGTGATCAGCCAAAGTAACTACAACTAGCAGACTTTAGTGTAAAGGTTACTGTAAATTAAGCTATCTTGAACTAGCCAGCTTTTTAGTTTAAACGTTTGTTTACATCTCTAAGACACTGGGTTAGTTGGAGATTTGGTGTCTAATGTCGACAAGTAACATTATGTTGTCATAAACATATAAAATGTAAGAGTCTGCCTGTCTTTGCTGCATGTTTACCTGCCACGTATTAGCTGCTCACCTGTCAGGTGTGTTAGTCACATCTCCTTTGCGTTCTTGTCTTTTAATTGCTTTCAGTTTATGCGGAAGGAAAAATAATAAATAAATAAATATTTCTAAACTAAATGTGATTTTTCAATTTAGAAAAGCTTGGCTATTTTTGTTTGTTTGTCTGTTTAGGTAAATAGAAATCCTTTTTTTCCCTTCAAATTTATAAAGTGTAATATTTTTACTTACTTCCCCAGGGATTAAAATTTTGCCTTAGTTTACAGTTGTGTAAATATATATATTTTTTTTCAGTGAGTGAAATTCCATTTTAAAATATAGTGGCTGATGAGGTTATAGGATGAGTTCTATTACGTTTTGAGACTAATTAAAAAATTATTTTGATTGTTTCATGTATTTAATGTACCAAGGCTTGTGCTGAGGAACAATCTGGGACGACACAAATTTATCTGTATTTAAAAGAAAATGAAGACAATGTTTATAGTTTTTAACACATTTGCTATTGTTTCCTTTTTATTATCACTCTGGTGTATTTGGGGGATATTTGAAGTTACTGTGAGGAGTCATTCGTTGTGTTTGTGTGTGTCGTGACACAGATTAGGCTTATGTCTTTATTTATTTGTTTATATTTTTCCTTTTTTGTTTTTTTCCTCAAGGGAGGAAAGGAAAGGGGGGCTTATGAGCCCACTTGGGTTTTTTTGACCCACCTTGCACATTTTGTTTTTAATCTTTTTGTGTGTAATGCTTTTTTAAATTGGTGCATATAAAGCTAAACTTTTCACTTCTTAGTGGTTTTGCTAACTTATCTAAACAAACTAAGCTTATTGAGGAGTTATTCATAATTTATAACTTGTTATTACATTTATAATAGTTTTTATACATTATAATGGTTTTGTTTGTCATTGTAGGGGAACATACACCTTGATGACATAGCACATAGTGCTATCACTACTTAGCACTTGTGTAACAATCTTCTTAGAACAATATTACTCATGTTGTACTGGATGCTTGTTCCTAATTCTTTATGTTAAATAATAATAACACAACAAGAATGTGGTTAATAAAACGTAACATTTTGTTGCTTTTCTTCACCCAGCTGCTGGCTTGTACTACTTGGCCGAACTAATAGAAGAGTACACGGTAGCCACCAGTCGAATAATAAAGTACATGATACTGGTGAGTAAGTGGTTATAGAAGGATGCACTTTATTTGTTTTATGTTGCAGTAAAATGCTGGAGGACTCCATTGAGCTGCTCTCTCACTGTGTTTCATTGTGTCCAGTTCTCCACAGGTGTGCTGGCAGGTCTCTATGTTTTTGAAGGTTTTCCCCTGTCCATGGTGGGGCTCGGCCTCTTTACAAATCTGGTGTATTTCGGTCTCCTGCAAACGTTTCCCTACATACTCCTGAGCTCCCCAAACTTCATCCTCTCTTGTGGTACGGTCCGCGTAAACTTGCTTTAGATTTTCTATTTGTTAAACAGATTATTTAAAAAGTTTACAATGCATATTTGTTGTTGTCATTTATGTCACAGCTTAATTTTGTTTTGTCTTTACACTGCAGTGTTGGTTGTGGTGAACCATTACATGGCCTTCCAGTACTTTGCACAAGAGTATTATCCGTTTTCAGAGGTAACTTCATTTGACGTTTGTGTTGTTTTTCGTCCTTTTTGTCCTCGTCTAATCTTGTTCTGTTTTGTTTGTGARTGGTATCAGGTGCTGGCGTACTTCACCATCTGCCTGTGGGTGATCCCGTTTGCCTTCTTTGTGTCACTATCTGCYGGAGAAAATGTTCTTCCATCGACCATGCAGCAAGGAGGTGAGCGGTCGACAGCTTTATGGCAGGAGTTAAACGGTTTATGTTTAAATGATGAGGCTTTCAAACCGTACCTGAGCAAATCCTTCCAAAAATATTGACTAACATGATCTCATGATTAGCTACCAGCACAGCTAGCTCAGTGTGACACTTCTGCTTTCCTGATGTTAACCGTAATCCTAGATTCTGTTTTGGTTTTAAATTCAACCTTACAAAAAGTAAAATATTCCCTTACAAAATGTTCTTCAGGAAGCTGAACCAATTATTTCAGATTATTTTACATAACTTAATATGACATGGTTCTGTTGACATTCTAATATGTTCTGTAAATAAATAAATAATCTAATAGATACTGGCAAAAAATGCTATATGTATTTTTTTATTTCTTGTATGAATGATTGATGTTACCAAATGTTACCAAACTTTATGTATCAGAAGAACATTAAAGTAGATGATGTAATAATTATCACATTTTATAAACGAAGAAATTAAATTTGTTAGTTTTGCTTCCAGTGTAACTCTTGTAGAACTCAGTTTGATGTGCACCCCTGGGGGAAAAAAAACAAAACAAAACAAAACTCAGTTTTTAGGGCCAGAAAGTCCTTCCATTTTTCCTGCTCTAATGTTACAAAGTCAGGCCCTCCTGATCCCAAGTGTGAATGTTCAAAAAGTCCAAATTCCAAATCTTAGTGTTCCCACATGGTCCTTAATTTGAAGTTATGAAGAGTAGCTGTTTCAACCTGGGATACTCTTTCAAGAAGTCAATACTCRACCCTCACTTTCTGTAGCACATTTTAGAAATATTTTATATTATCTAGAAACCAGTGCAACATGGAGTTCACTTCAAAAGACTTCAAACCACCGTCAAACTAATAACAGGTTTCTTTCTTTTCATAGATGACGTGGTGTCTAATTATTTCACCAAGGGCAAGCGGGGCAAGAGGTCCGGGATCCTTCWTGTGTTCTCTTTCCTGAAGGAGGCAGTACTGCCCAGCCGACAGAAAATGTACTGAGGAGCTCAGACTTGAGGGTTCAGCCTCTCGGCGGTTGSGGGGCTGGGTGAACGTGTGCTTGTGGTTAAGAACAAGGCGAAGCAGGAAGAACAGAGGACATTGTTTGCTAATGYAACAAAAAGGAGGAGGAAGAGACTACCAGAAAGTGTGGACCAATAAATGGAAGAGAGCTTCCTGCTGGACGAGCAGACTGTTTTACACATATTCATCTTTGTGTTTGGACTGACTGCCAACAACACCTACTGCAGACCTCTTAGTGGGGGTCTTTGTCTGTAGCTCAGTGCTTTTTGTAATATCATGTTGGACTTTTTTAAGCTTTAGTGTAAAAAATATTTGGAAGAAATGATAAATAAAAGAGTCGATTTTGCCTCGGGCAGATAAATCATGATCACCTTTGTTAAACAGGAACTCTTTGTTGTTGTTTATGTTTATCTGAGTTATTGTACAAGTTGGCATCAAAACTAGGCAAGGAAGACGATACGAACTCGTATATTGTTTTGATGAATAGAATTGATTGAAAAAAAAAATAGAAAAAGAATATAGAAAGAATGGCAAAAAGTGTTTATTTGGCAAGTCACCTGCAAACCAATAAGCTGATCATAAATAATGTCTGTAAGGAACATGGTCCAATTCAGACACACTTTGTCGTTTCAACAACACATGGAAGAAAAAGCTATTTAGCCTTTTTTAATTAAGGTGTAATGAACCCCCTCTACTGTTTATCATCATTTGGCCACAAAAATAATTCTTCACATAAAGTTTGTAAGGTTTTTTTTTCTCAGAACATTCACTAATTACCAGCACTGTGAAGTAGCTAATTGTCTTGTTTTTGGACTGTCTGGAGGAAGGAACATAGTTCTATGAATAAAAAGTAAAGGATTTTGGTACATTCAACAATGAGTAAACCTAGAATCCAAGGCGAGCGTGAAGACATGAAGATCAAACCTGTGCAATGATTTTTTTTTTTTTTAAAGATGTTGGGTGTTTGGGACAAAAGATGCATAAACTAGTTTTTATGAAAGAAATAAACCTTAAAAGAGGCTAACATTTTTCTTACCATTTACAAAGTGTGATGCATCAAAAACTGGTGTTCATCAAATGTGAATAAACAATTTTGTTGAGCTAATTAATGATTATTTTTTTTATCTGTAAAGCTGGTCTATTCAACTAAATTGCTCAGAGGGGCCACAATTACTCAAAGCCAACAGTTCAGGCTAACCATGTAGGGGGGGTTGGGGTCACTGCCTAATATGATGAAGAAGAGAATTAATGTCATATTTAATTTTTTTAATGTGTTTTTTTTTTTTGCTGCATTGAATCATAAATTTAAAATTGATTTTATTAAGCTTAAGTCATGGTGACACGGTAGAGTTGTCACATCAAAACCTGGTTGGGTACCTTTCTGGGTAGGGTTAGCATGTTCCATCTGTGCATGTGTGGGTTTTCTCCAGGCACTCCAGTTTCTTCCCACCGCCCAAAAACATGACTGTTAGGGTAATTGGTAACTAAATTGTCCCTAGGCGTGAGTGAGAGAGTGAATGGTTGTTTGTCCCTATGTGTCTCTGTGATGGACTTGTGATCTGTCCAGGGTGTACCCCGCCCCACGCACAGTGACCCCAATAARCCTGAAAGGAAAAAAGCAGGTTAAGATAAWGGATGAATGGACGGGTTCTGATCGTTCCAAATAATACAAGGCCAGTGTGTCTACTCACCCATAGGCTGTTGACCTTTCCTCAGTCAGAATGTGGGTTTTTGTGAATGGAGTAATGTTTCTCCAGTCCCATGCCGTCTGGTCACAGAGGGAGCACCAGGTTTATACCGGTGTGCACTTTGACCCCCACTGAGGTGTGAAGTGCTTTGTGAAAAAAATAAAGATAAATCCACAACAAGCGCCCGCACACACAGACGCATCTTCGGCTGAAGGGCCGCGGCTCCCGGTTCACACTTTTCATGCTGTTTACGACCCCCACCCCCCTCCACACACACACACACCTGGCTCTCCCGGTGGTTTCCCTGGGGGAGATCAGTGAAAGTGCAGAGGTACATCTGTGACAGGTGACCCAGTTCAGGGAGGTTTTCTCACCTTTCACTCACCCAGGTGCTCGCCAGGCCTTTGAATGCTTAACATCTACAATGTGTGGCATTTTAAAATCACTTGGCAGTAGAACGGCTGAATATAAAGTAACTTTGCCTCATTAAAACATTTGGTATGAATTCATTATATAAACACTCAGCTCCGTAATATTGCAGGCACGTTATACAAATTGGATCTTTGGTGTCGTCTTTGGTACCATGGTGGTTAATTTTGATTTGAACATGAGACCCTGGTGCATCATGAATAAACCCACTGATGCTTGATAAAAACAGGGTTGAGAGAATTTGAAAACCTTGGCACCTTTCATTTCATGAGGTGCAAGATGATGAGGTTATTGGTGCCATAAAAGGACGAGTTGGTTCAGGGAAATATTCCTTTAAATACCAGGACCTGACTTCCTCATCTTCTTAAACTTCATTATAAAGGCTGAAATCCATCTCGTATATATATTTTTTAATGCAGCTCCTCTAAAATCGTCGATCGTTTTCAGCTCTAGTTGATATCCCTTCAGTAAACAGTTGGATGCTCAGTAGTGTCCCGGCTCCAGGACCTCAGCCAGGTGCATGGCCACCTCTGTCCAGGGGAGGTGCTCCGTCCCTGAGGGCATCCTCTGCGCTGGACCTCTGATGTTCAGCACCTCAAAGGACTGTGACGAGGTGATCCTGGAGGGGAAGGCCCTGGGGAATAACACCCTCTCAGCAACATCCAGGGGCAAGTTAGGTGGAGGTTAAGACGCGCTGCTCCATTTGGTGGTGTACTGAAGCTTCTGGGTGCTGCTGTCCTTCTACAAAGTGACACAGTTCCTGAGTTCTGGCTCGTTGTGGGGGTACTCTGGCTGGAGGCCCGTGAAGATGGTCCACAGGCTGCGGAACAAAGCTGCAGGTTGTTGAGTTGTGGCACTCCTGTCTTTCTCGGGCCCTGCTGGCTGGTGCTTGAGATGTTTTGGGTCTGGTAGGAGACACACTGATTGTGGTACTTGCTCACCTACACTCTGGAGGAGACATCCTTCATTCAGCAGGSGCAAGCCTTTGTTCTGGAGTAATTACATTAAAAGTTGTTTGCAAATAGAAAACTCTTTATATTWGATTTTATAATTCCCTAAATCAGCTTTAAGCTCACAATTTTATTAAGATTGTTTTGTTTGGCCATATTGACCAGATCTCTGTGTCATGCTTGAGCCTGCTTCCTCTCCTCCAGTTCTCWTGTCTTTTTAGCCTGCCACTCACAGCTCTTTAAATACCTGCTCACAGACAGGCGGCTTGGTTCAAAATGAACCTTGAATATGACCTGTTCAAACAAGCTTTTATTTTGGCGTCCTCCATCCGTTTGACTTGATACCTCGCTGCGGCACCAGACGCGGGCCAAGTCCAGAGGAGTGAGTGCCATGTCTTTCACCAGCACATCTGCTCCAGCCTTCACGAGCGTTTCGACACATTTAAYGAGGCCCTCGGAAGCAGCCAGGTGCAAAGTGGTCTGACCTGAATCTGTGGTGCTAATAGAAATATGGCTTTCATTTACAGTGTATCCAGAAATAATTCAATGGTTCACTTTTTATGTTACAGCCTTATTCCAAAATGCAAGAAATTATTTCTTCCCCCTCAAAATTCTAGYCACAACACTCCATAATGACATATATATCAGGTGTATGTTTGCTGCAACTTATCTTTGAGATGTTTCTACAGCTTTATTGGAGTCCACCTGTGGTAAATTCAGATGATCGGATGTGAMTTGGAAAGGCACACATCTGTCTAAATAAAGGTTGAAAGTGCATGTCAGATCACAAACCAAGCATGAAGTTCAAGGAATTGTCCGTCGACCTCTGGATTGTATTMAGGCACAAATCTAGAGACAGGTACAGACAAATTTCTGCTGCTTTGAAGTTCCCCATGAGCTCCGTGACCTCCACCGTCTGTCAATGGACGAAGAGTGGAACCATCGAGACTCTTCCTAGAGTTGGCCAAGAAATCCAAACTGAGCAATCAGGGGAGAAGGGTCTTAGTGGGGTGATCATTAACCCAATGATCACTCTGTCAGAGCTCCAGTGTGCCTCTTTGGAAAGAGAACCRTCCAGAAGGTCGACCATCTCTGCAGCCATCCACTAATCAGGCCTGTYTGGTAGAATGGTCAAATGAGGCAAAGGTTGAAGTCTTTGTCATGAATGCCAGGCGTCATGTTTGGTTAAAAACAAGTTACCACTCATCACCAGGCCAAGAGATCTGAAAATGGTTGRGCACTGACTCTTTTGATCCAACCTGATGGAGCTCGAGAGGTTCTGTGAAGAGGAACGGGCAAAACTGCTCAAAGACATGCATGCCAAGCTTGTGGCTTCACYTTCACAAAGACTTGAGGCGGAAACTGTTGACAAAGTTGAATCAACAAATGAACTGACTGAGCAAAGGCTGTGAATACTTATGTGCTGTATATGTGATTTCTCACTATTTTTATTTTCAAAATTTGAAAACATTTTAAAACACTTTCTTGGTGTTGTCATTACAGGTTGCTGGGTGTAGAAGTTTGAGGGGAAGTTTAMGCTCTTGTTAAGATTTAGTGTTTCTATGCTTTTCAAAAAAGTTTACATTGCTAGTATGGAGCTTAATGTTTCCAGCTGAGCAAGTGTGCAAATGCAAAAAAGACTCGGATTACTGAACAAAAATAAATATCTTCAAGAGAAAAGCCCCTACACATTGACATCARTGTCATGCTCCAGCAGATCGGAGGCAGGWGTAGGTGCCGGGAGAGRCTCGAGAGGACAGGACCATGTGAARGGGCCGYCAACAGTGGGCGTCGCTGTCATTAATCCAGCCTGGTCTGGACTCAACCAGGCGTTGGATGGTAGCCAGGTCTTTACAAACACAGGCCTTCTGGAGCGCTGACGGACYGTGGAGGATAAATACAGTATGTTCAGTATGGTTGGGCGATGGGATGAATTTATCGACCATCAAWAATAAGCTGAGCACCTCAACGGTCTTTCTTGTAAGAACATTTTTTTACCGCTATTTATTTGTTTAAGTACTTGAATAAATGTGAAATTTTTTTAAACTAGCAGGTGATCAGTATCTGAAAGTTGTTTTTAAGAAACATGAAAAAGATCCATCAAACATTTGACAAAAGACCTTTATCTTCCCGCCATCCAWGTTTGTAATTAACTTTATGTCATCTTTTCTGCTAATAGCTCTTTAGAAATTACCTTGTTTGTGCTAAAATGTACATTTATGTATGAAATTGTTTAACTTTGGTTTTAAGTGCCTAAAGTTTCACTGGATTTGTTTTTTTCTTTGCTAAGTCATTTTTTATGTATTGACACATAGTTCAGTCACTTGAGTTTAAGAGCCTTTTATAACTGAGTGATTCATAGACCAGAGGTGGCTTAAAGGGAAGAAAAAGTCCTTCATGCATGGTCAAGTACCGGACTGAGAATGAGAAAAAGGCCAGCAAATGTCCAAAATGAAAATAATAATAATAATAAAAATAAAAATAAAAGAAAGCATTATTTAATTGAAGAACTTTTGCTCAAGACCATTAAAAAAAGGTCAGACTGTTTTGGAGCAAAATGAAAATCCAGAAAAAGGAAACATGACCCAAGACTTTTGCACAAACCAGTCTTGAATCACTTCTATGTAGTAAGTAAACAATCTTTCACCAGACTGTTATAGTTGATAATAGCACCTCCTCAATTATCTCTGGACGGTCGACATCTGGCAACATCTGGTCACCTGGTTGAACTTTCGGGGACGATTTCCTGCAAGAACAATATTTATAAACTGGAAGGAGCGATGCTAAGGTTAGTTGTTAGCTGAAAGGCTAATAGCACACTTATAGTCGTCTGTCTTAACAAAACAAATCACTAGCAGTCACAATTAACATGTTTGGAACTTCGGCTTTTTATAGTATTACAGCTTTGGATTTAAAACCTTAAATAATTATTTTACATGGTTTTACATCTTCGTTTTCTGCTCCTGTTGACGGGTCTCATGGTTGCCATGGAAATGTATGAAGAAGAAAGTGAGCGTCTGATGCTGTCAAGAAGTTTA